TCGGAATGCTTGAAACTGATACCAAATTGTAATGTCCGCCTTGACATTATCAGGAATAACACTTACACACCGTTATAATAATTAGGATTAAATAAAATCCCATAAGAAAGTTACCACAACTCAAGGGTTTAAAAATAAGTAGTTTTAAAAAACATCGGGATCCTAAGAAAACCCTTTCTAAAATATTGTTTCAGTTCAAACCATGGTTAAAAATCAATTTAGATCAAATATGGAAGCATGGGAAACAAACCATGTCAAAATTAGGCTAAAACACCATTCTTCTAAAATTCTGGTCTGTCTGCCGCCGCGTAAACCACACTCGTGGAGGCAGATGGCATAGAGGGACAAGTTCCTCTAAGGCCTCATGAGCCGCGGTGCAACAACCATGCATCGCGGCGCGCACCTATTGTCATGACAACAGATTGTTATCATGACAGCCTCTCGAACTTTCATAACGTGTAGTTTCACCATTCGACATTCGATTTGAGCGGTTTAAGTGTCTATACAAAGCTCTTTGAGCCTTCTAACTAATGGCACCAGTTTCGCACTCAAATAACCATCCATTTAAAAGATGGACACCCGAACTCAAAATGGTTTATTTTCACAACAAAACACACACCAAGGTGTCTAACTCACAATACCAAATTCCATTAGCCCCCAGAGACACTTTGACCACTTTAAATGGACCACAGACAACATAACAACTCATTCATATCATACAAGGAAGCAATCACGTTCAAAATGACCACCAAACCCCCATTTGGCAATAACACAAAGGGGTGGATAAAATCCAATGCACATGTTAATTGGTCATTTTGGCACACAAATCACTTTAAATATATTACATGTAAGTGTAACTTGGTCAAGCACACATACTTAATCCACAACATCAACCTTAGACTAAGATACACACATCCTTATCACAAATTCATATTAAAGGATAATTACAACAATATTGTGTTCCTAAATTGGCATTATATATTGACAATATTCATTACAATACCTAAAAAGAAGAAGAAGGGAAGAGCTATACAAATATGCTTTTCACTTTCTAAATGCTCCTTCTTTCCCTTTGCCCTTATTAGAGCCCTCACTTGTAAAATATACCCATAGGGGTAAGATAAACATCTCAATATCCAATATAATTCATCAAATGTTTATTACCACAAATAACCATGATAAAGTATCGAAACTATAGTAATAACAAGTATACCATATTTATGAAATAAGTGCATCTTTTCACAACAAAATACATAATTTCACCCTAGCATGATCATTTAACTACCGAATCTCCAATACTCCCCGACATGAAACCATAGGCTCTCCTAGATCAATTATTTGTTGACCCGAGCATACTTTTGGTGGTAGAACCACCCGACCAAAGGTAATCTAACCCACTTATGGACTATGATTTTTCTCTCTTCACACACTTATGATAAAGGCGTCATTGACTTCTAACCGCATCCTAACAGGTATTAGGGAGTTGCTAGACTGCCCAGATATCCTATGATAATAATCACATATAATGCTGCACCGGATGTCCCATGGTGCCAATCTGACTAATGGATTTTTCACTTACATATCAATAACCTTTTACAAATCACACTAAAATATCTCCACATTTGTATTTACTTATACATAGTTATAATAGTTAATAAACACAATAAACTATATGGTTACCTCAACCCTTTGTCACACTCATGGCTCAACGTTAGCTCTACAAGTTTTATACGCACGATAAAGCTCGAGCAACGCTCAATCTACACAATCAAGTGATAATCATCAATTATCACTTTGGGTAACTCCGAATTCACTAGGTTCTAAGTGTTTAAAATACCTAAATTTCTTTTCTAACAACATCAACCATTCCCAAACACCCTAACCATCCTATTAAACATTCTCACACACCAAAATCACTAATCAATATCCCACATTGTCTCAAAATCTTTAAATTATACTTAGGATTCGTCCAAACCCTTACTAAAAATTTCCAATCACCACAAAGCTCATAAACTTAGGGTTAATCATTTAACTCTTCAAGACCTTAAATAAATCAATGGGTTCGATTTAAACTTAAGAAAACTGAAATCAAAGCCCTCATTGCCCTAAATGTCCAGATTTTCACACAATGAGGGAGAGGGAGAAGAAAGGAAGGCATACCCAATGCATATGAAGCTTGAAAGGCCTCTAAAATCATGTAGGAAGCAAGCCCTAGCAGCCACAAGTCTCTCTTCGTCGCTGCTCTAGAGTTCTTTATTTCTCTCTTTTGTTTTTTTGAGTTTGATTCGCGATCTGATAAGTGCAGATTTTGCACATGCGCCGTGGTGCATTGACACGCCCGCTGTAGTGCATGGCACAAAAAGTCCAACAAAATTTTAAGCTCCCTTTCATACCATGGTCCGTTCAAACATCAACCTAACCCTCTTCTAAGGCTGTCCAAGAATTCAAAAACTATATTAGTCTCCCACAAACCTCGCTAAATCAATAATTTATCCAAATTGACTAAATTACCCTTGAAAACAATGAATTTTACAAATTAGGAAACTTAGGATGTTACACATTAATTATGTTGTTTCCATGCTCTCAAGTCTCATTAGAGAGTTTTTATTCTCAATACAAGAATATCTTTGCATTTTTCAATCTCATGTGTCCTAATCGATGAATGATCAACCGTTCTCCTAAATGGGTTTGTTGCAAATAGTGGAGAGTTGGGTGGCCGAGGTGGAGGAGTTTTGTGCTTCTTTTCAGCCAATGTCAAGAAGATAGGATGTTCGGTTCATCCACATACTTCTTGAAGAATTCAAATCTCATAGCTTCAATTTGATTGGTTAAAAAAAATTGACTCTCATTGGTTAATAAATTTTAGGCTAATGTTAATATAAAAATTTCTTTTGATTCATTAATGAGATTCAATTTATTTTCTTATTTTTTATGTATTTTTAGTCTACTTTCACAAGAGAATTAATTCAAGAGTAATCCCATTTTTAAATTTTCCTTATCGTTAACATTAACTCCATCCGGCTATCCTTTTCCATTCACTATACTTTACCATGCCTTTTCAATTTTCCCAATCCGTAAGATTTAATTTATTTTTTTATTTTTCATATATTTTGAGTCTACTTTCATAGGAGCATTGATTCAAGAACAGTCTCATTTTCAAATTTTCCTGATTGTTAGCATTAACTCTATCAGGCTATCATTCTACATTCACTTACTTTTCTATGCCTTTTCAATTTTCCTAATCAATGACATTTAATTTTTTTTCTTATTTTTCATATATTTTCTTGATTTGCTGTACTTAATATTAATCAATTCTTATCAACCATATTATCCATAAACATTATTTGTAAAAAAAAAAAGAGAAATAAAAAGAAGTTTAAGTTTAATTTGGATCATCAATCCTTATCTTGTGGTATTAACCCTTCAAAATGTGCATGTTTTAGCATACATAACACCCTGACAAGATAAAGCGATGACTGTTTATCATTTTACATTGAAGAAGTGAGGCAAAAACGATTTGGCAGACAATACATGCACGCGCGTGCGCACGCTTTTTTATGCATCTTAGGCACAAATCATTTTCTTCTCTTTGACCTTTTAATAATGAATTTTAAATTTAGCTAAAGACAAGATGTGTATAAATAAAATATTCAAGAAGGAAAATGATTGAATAGAAGAATTTTAAAAAATTTAATCATCTCAAATATATCAATATTAATTGAATCGATAATATTAGTTGCAAATTCTTTAATTTCAACCCATGTAACGCACGGGAAACTATTTAGTTTTTTTAAATACTGAAATATTGCTTTTTTTTTTTTGGTAAGAATTTGCGGGAGGGTAGTTTTAAAATTGCAAAAATAAAAGTTACAGAAAACAAAGGACATTGACGTATACAAATTATCAATGAAACCTTTTAGAATATGAGTAATAAAAAATGCACTGGAGAGAGTACTCAATTGAGAGCCCTGGTTTTAGCTCTAGTTTTTGCGGCAAGCGCTGATTTTTATATGTTAAAGGGCAGGCGATCCTCCCAGGACAGAAAGATGTAATGTGCGGTGAAAATCTATAGGATCTTGTATGCTTGATGCTTTGCTCAAATTACTTTTAATTGCTTCAATGCTTCAATTCAACAGCCCATCAATTGTCAATGATACAGATTAGGACTTGACCAAAAAGGGGGAAAAAAGAAGCAACAATAACATGAGAAATCGATGAAAAGAAATCTGCAGTACCATTCAGGTTAAATAAAATTGTACAGATGATTAAATGTGATCCTATAGCCTCTGGTAAACTAATAAAATCACTGAATGCACACCTTTTCAATCAAAGCATAATAAATCAATGAATCAAACAAATATTGTTCCTTTCTGTCCTATGAATCAAACAAGTACACACCCTTTCAATGAGTCAATGAATCAACCAAAAAACTTGAACAAGCATAACCTTCACGCCAACACGAGACTATGCAAATTTCCTTCTGTCCTACATATTACTAGAACATATCCGTGTAGACAGCAACAGATCGAAATAGAAATAGAGGAAGAGACTGAACCAGATTTGGATCTATCGTCGCCGCCGTCGCACGCCGCTGCTCATAGTTCGTAGAGAAGGGACTCGAACTAGAAGAGATGAGGGATTTTGGGATTCGTCGGTCAGGAGCTTGACGGTTGCGATTATCTGACAACGTTTAAAGGATCATATTTGAAAGTGTTAAATGAAACGGTGCGTTTTCGCGAGTTTACAAAAGGTGAAGACCGCAGAACAAGCACGCTGGGAAGTGAACGGGATTTCTAGCGGGAGAGAATTAAACAAAAATAATTCTATCAAGAGAATAATTAAAAAATAAAAAAAAAATCTTCATTCAGAATATATATTCAAAATCAGGTTAAATTTCATATACAAGTTTAAAAGAAAAACGCAACCAAAAGCACAAGAAATGAAACTAGATGGAACAGTGTCTACATTAGATATCAAAACATAAAATCTCCCGGGAAGTCTGAAAAAGCACATGATCAATTCTTCATATAATTTCAAACGGGAAGCCTGAAAAAGTACATGATCAATTCTTCATATAATTTCAATTTCAACATGTTCATGCATAAATGAAAGTAATTTTGGTATTAATCCAGAAAATAATACAGTCCCCTTTTTGTCCCCATCTAAAATTACTGGGAACAATTGCATGTAAATTCCCGTCAAAGAATATGCCTAACAACCAAAAAGCTCTAATTTGAAGAAAAATTTACAGGACACTTCTGTGCGATTCTCTATAATGTAAAGAAATAAGCTATTTCTATGAAGAAGACTGTATTTTGTATTTTCTTAACCACTATTGGGTTTCAGCTTTCTCTGAAACAGTATCATCTTCGTCCTCGTCCTCGTTGTCATCAATGGCCAAATTGGATATCTCATTAGTCAAATTTGTTTTGTTTTCTTCATCTACTGTAACTTCTGGGATGCTATTATCTTCTGGTTGTTGCAGGCTCCAATACATGATGCTAGCAGTCAAAATAAGTATCATTTTCGGGTTCACCTGTCAAGGTGAAGCAAAATAAGCTTAAGATCAAGCCAATTAACTGAATCCAATGATAAGAATGTTAATTATTAAAGTTTATTTAATCAAATTCAGATGGTAAGCACAAATACAAGAGTTTTTTGGTTACGGCAACAAATAACCTAGTTCCACCTCCAGTGTTTCCAATTTTCTACCAAATATCAGGGATCATAATTGGGGTACCTAATGGAGACTTGTCGTATGGGATATCAAGTCCCACATTGAGTAGTATAAGATACTTAATGGGGTATTTGAATGGGCTGATTTACCCACTATGACAACTAGCTTTTAGGGTAGAATTCTCCATACCACTTAGATATTAATTAATTGGCATGCCATAAGGTGCAGCTATTGGGATGTTGGCTTTCCATGACAGCCAATTGATGAAAGTCTCACATTAAGTAGTATGGGATGCTCAACTAGGCATTTAATAACCAGATTAGTTCTCCCATCTTAACAGCTAGTTTTTGAATAAGATTTCTCAATCTACTTGGGTACCCATCAGCACCAAACACACAAGAAAATAATGAAACAGAACTTCTATTCAATCAAGCTAACTCAAACTATAACACTCAAGCTAACAACTAATCTAACTACAACTAACTGCCATGTACTGGTGACCGAATCCTCAATCTCACGTATAATAATTATCAACTGTACTTTTAGCTCTTTCCTCTAATGGTGAAGGTCCATTTGGTTGTTATAAAGGATGATAATGGAATGAATTAAAACATAAAAAATAACTAAATCACCTTTCCCTTTATGATAAGTATGATAAAAACCTGATACCATATATCACAAGTGTGGAAATCATCATGCCCTCCATAAACCTTATGAATTATGGCTCATAATCTCATGAGCTAAAGTATCCTTCCCTCCCATGAACATGATTCACTTATCTCCTTTCCAGATTTGGATCATTCTATTTTTTCCTTTATTTTTTCAATCTATTTCATTCCCTTCTCTTTTAGTAACCAAACGGCCTGAGAGAAATGTAGCTATTGCGACAGTTGAGTCAGAATTAAGGTAGGAAAGGAGAAAAGAAAATGGAAGAAAGCTCCCAGCTATTGCAGAGGCTAGAACCTCTCAAAAGCTAACTCAGAATCTGCCTACCTCTTACAGACCCTTCCTCAAACATATTGCCCTCTGCTTCTTTCTCCTCCCCAGAACTACTTGACAACAGTAGTTATCCTAATAAAATTTCTATATTGCCCCTTGATAAGGGTCCAAGTCAGCATAACAAACCCATAATCATTTATCAACGCAGAAAAAGGAGGAAGATAACAGAATCAGATGCTGTTATGCAGATTATGAGAGATTTACCTTATTTAAATTAATTCTTTGCTGTTATTTTAATTAATTATTGTTTTGTTTTACTGTTAGTAACTGTTAGTAGCTGAATAATAGGACCTTCATTGCATTAGTGGGGTACCAACGTGCTAGTCAGTTATTTCCTGATTTTAGGCTAATTATCTGCATTATTTGATTTATTTAATTGTAATTTTGGGTTATAAATATCCTGGCTGGTATGACAGCGGGAGATCTGAATGAATAATCCTTGTTTTTCCCTTGGAGATTCTCCTATTTGGCTATCAAGTTCAGTAGAGTAAGATCCTTGCTCTATTTAATTTAATAGAATCCTCCTTTTCCTTCATATTTGTCTTGAGCCCCTACTAAATTGGTATCAGAGCCTCGTTCGATCATTATAGTGACCACATGCTCCGAAAATGAAATTGACCATGCCAACTCCTTTAACAACCCACCTCAAGGTCAGAATACTGAAAATCCATTTGCATTAGACCCTTTAAGCCGCATTGCAGCCAGACTGGAAACACTTGACTTATTAAAAAGAGAAGGTTGAAGCACTTGAGTTATCTGCCAGCAAAGGAAAAAGACCCGTGGGAAGCTATCATAGGTGTTCACACTGGGATGAAGATAGTGATGAAGAGTCAGACTATAGAAGGGGTCCACATCCACCACACACCAAAATTGAATTCCCAAAATTTAGTGGAGGTGACTTGCGGGGTTGGATTTTGAAGGCTGAAAAATATTTCAGGTATTATCAAACATCAGAAGATCTGAAGGTTGATGTGGCTTCCATGTATTTAGAAGGGGATGCTTTGGATTTATTCTCATGGATAAATTCAGAACGTACCTTGATTTATTGGGAGGAGTTAGTGAAAGCACTGCAAGAACACTATGGCCCTCCAGAGTATCAAAATCTTGATGAACACCTAGTAACCATCAAGCAGACTGGATCAGTGCAAGAGTACCGCCAGGAGTTTGCTAAACGAGTAGCACGAGTTCATAACTGGCCAGAACACTGTCTGTTAGGTGTTTTTCTGGGAGGACTCAGAGATGACCTGAAATCTGATGTGCGTATTCAGAAGCCTCGCACAGTGTATAAAGCTAGATCTGAAATCTGAGTCCAGCAAACACTATCCAGCCACAACCTCTGCTCTCAAATGCCGAACAGCAGCGTCGCAGGGATAAGGGACTTTGTTACCGTTGTGGGGACGTCTTCCAGCCTGGGCACCGCTGCAAACCCTCATCCTTCTCACTCATGGAGATCGACGAGGATGGGCAACCCATACCAGAAAATCCTGTTACTATTGCAGAGGAAGAAGACGAGACTACGGAAAGTGCAGAAATCTCTTTTAATGCTATTTTGGGTAATATTTCAGCAGCAACAATGAAACTAAGAGGTCAGGTGCTCAATCGCAATGTGCTGCTCCTTGTTGACAGTGGGTTGACCCACAACTTCATCTCTGACTCATTGGTGCAAGAGTTGAACTTGCCCATTTGTTCTATTCCCACTTTCGGCGTACAGATTGGAGATGGTAGTGTAATTCGAGGAAATCGTGTATGCAAAGTGGATGTGAAGCTACCTGGTTTGACCATTAAACAAGATTTTTATCCTTTTTCTCTGGCGGGAACAGATTTGGTGCTGGGAATCAAATGGCTAGCTTCTTTAAATACCATACAAGCCAATTGGAATGAGATGTTTTTAATTTTCTGGGTTGATGGCAAACAGTATAAACTTCAAGGAGTACCTCAAGCCTCAAACCAGAAGGCCAGCTTACATTCCATGTTCTCCTCTGAGCTCACATTGGGATCTTCCACTATCAAGTCATTGGATGTGGATGAACTCCTGGTCGAATTTGATGGATTGTTTGCAGAACCAACCTCTCTGCCACCTTTCAGAGATCATTATCATGCCATTCATCTTCTACAGGGGACTCAACCTCCCAACTTACGCCCTTATCGCTATCCTTACTTCCAGAAGACTGAAATCGAGAAACAGGTGGATGAATTATTACAGCAAGGTTTCATACAGCCAATTTCGAGCCCTTTTGCCAGTCCAGTTTTACTAGTAAAGAAAAAGGATGACTCCTGGAGGTTTTGTGTGGACTATAGGGCCTTGAACCAGATTACGGTCCCAAATAAATACCCAATTCCTAATATTGATGAACTTCTAAATGAATTACATGGAGCTACTTATTTTTCCAAGATTGACCTTCGCTCCGGTTATCACTAGATATGGGTCTTGCCAGCAGATATTCATAAAACAGCATTTCGAACTCATAGTGGACACTATGAATTTGTTGTAATGCCGTTCGGACTGACCAATGCACCAGCCACTTTTCAAGCAGCCATGAATGATCTTTTTCATCCTTATCTTCAAAAATTTGTGTTGGTTTTCTTTGATGACATCCTAATCTATAGTCCCACTCCAAACCTACATAAAGATCATCTTCGATTAGTATTTTCTACCTTGCAGCAACAATCGTATAATGCCAACTTCAAGAAGTGTGAATTTGGGCAGACCCGTGTGTCCTTCTTGGGGCATAAGGTTTCAGCACAAGGAGTGGAAATAGATTTTGAAAAGATCAGTACCGTAAGTGAATGGCCAGTACCTACAAATGTCACAGAACTTCGAGGCTTTTTGGGACTCACCGGCTACTACCGATGGTTTGTCAAGAATTACGGTATTATTGCTCGTCCTCTTACTACATTAACTAAAAGGAATGCTTTTTGCTGGACCCCAGAAGCTCAAAGAGCTTTTGAGAAACTTAAGCTTTATCTTATTACAGCCCCTGTTTTAAAACTTCCTGACTTCATGGCCGAGTTTGTGGTAGAGTGCGATGCTTTAATGGAAGGTGTGGGGGCCATCCTCATGCAACATGACCACCCCATCGCTTTTTACAGCAAGGGGTTATCTTTTTCTAACAGATTTCAGTCAGCATATGATCGGGAACTATTAGCTCTAGTGTTGGCACTCCAAAAGTGGCGTCATTATCTGTTAGGAAGGCATTTTACAGTAAAATCTGATCATAGTAGCTTGAAAAATCTGTTGCAGCAGAGAACTTTAACAAACACTCAACAGCGTCTCATTCTAAAGTTACTTCCATTCGATTTCTCCATTATATATAAGGCTGGTAAGGAGAATATTAGGGCTGATGCACTATCCAGAAGGCCACAACATGCTGATTTTCTCAATTTGGTGATTCCTGTGCCTTTAGATTTCCTTGAATTACAAGAAACTTTGACAACCGACTCTTTTACAGCTCCTATTGTTGCTGCCTTAAAAGAAAATTCCAGTTCTCATCCCGGTTATAGTCTGGTTGAGCAGAAATTGTATTTTAATGGGCGCCTAGTTATTCCCCGGAGCTCATCTCTTCGCTCTAAGCTACTGCAAGAGGCACATGTAACACCTTCGGGTGGTCATGGGGGCTTCTTAAAAACTCTCAAGCGTTTAACAGGTACGGTTTATTGGCCTAAAATGAAAAATGATGTAAAGGCTTTGGTTCAACAATGCTTTGTTTGCCAGAAGAACAAATATGAAACCCTATCACCAACTGGCTTGCTACAACCTTTACCGGTTCCTACACAGATTTAGGAAGATATCTCTCTTGACTTTATTGTTGGAATGCCCAAATCAGGTGGCTATGATACTATTCTAGTGGTAGTTGATAGATTGAGTAAATATTGTCATTTCATTCCCCTTGCACACCCCTATACTGCCAAATCTGTGGCTGCTCGTTTTTGTGAGGAGATTGTCCGGTTGCATGGCATGCCTCGTTCTGTTCTATCAAATCGAGACCCACTTTTCTTGAGTGCCTTTTGGCAGGAATTATTTAAGCTAAGTCAAACTCGCCTTCGGATGAGTACTGCATACCACCCTCAGACCGATGGCCAAACTAAAGTAGTAAATCATTGCCTTAAGACATATTTACGATGCTTTGCACATGAGCAACCACGTTCATGGAGTAAGTTCTTAGGTTGGGCTGAATTCTCATTCAACACTAGTTTCCATGTTTCTACCAATACTACCCCTTTCAAAGTGGTATATGGTAGGGACCCACCTCCACTTCATCCTTTCATCAAGGGTGAAACTCACATTGCTGAACTTGCTGACCAACTAGAAACTAGAGATCACATGTTACAACTCCTCAGGGATAATTTGCACAAAGCCCAACATAGAATGAAGACTTATGCAGATCATCACCGACGTGAGCTCTCTTTTGAGGTGGGAGATGCACCTTTCCTGAGGATACAGCCTTTCAGGCAGCGTTCATTGTCCCATAAAAAGTATGACAAGCTCTCGCCTCGTTTCTTTGGACCTTATACTATCATACGCAAAATCAGAGTAGTGGCCTATGAGTTGCAGCTACCATCAACAGCTAAAATTCATCCGGTTTTTCATGTTTCATTACTGCGACCAGCTCACGGAAAGTCCCCTCTTGATACTCCAGCAGATTTGCCATTGTCCCCTGATTTTGAACTTGTCCTGGAACCTGAGACTGTTATATCTCATCGCTGGAAGGGTTCTTAGTTGGAGCTATTAATCAAATGGGCGTCCAGACTAGAGGAAGAATCGAGTTGGGAAGATTATGATCTTTTTGCCCAACAGTTTCCCAATGTCCGCCTTGAGGACAAGTCTTTTCAGGGGGGGAGTAATGATAAGGGTCCAAGTCAGCATAACAAACCCATAATCACTTATCAATGCAGAAAAAGGAGGAAGATAACAGAATCAAATGCTGTTATGCAGATTATGAGAGATTTACCTTATTTAAATTAATTCTTTGCTGTTATTTTAATTAATTATTGTTTTGTTTTACTGTTAGTAACTGTTAGTAGCTGAATAATAGGACCTTCACTGCGTTAGTGGGGTACCAACGTGCTAGTTAGTTATTTCCTGATTTTAGGCTAATTATCTGCATTATTTGATTTATTTAATTGTAATTTCGGGTTATAAATATCCTGGCTGGTATGACAGCGGGAGATCTGAATGAATAATCCTTGTTTTTCCCTTGGAGATTCTCCTATTTGGCTATTAAGTTCAGTAGAGTAAGATCCTTGCTCTATTTAATTTAATAGAATCCTCCTTTTCCTTCATATTTGTCTTGAGCCCCTACTACCCCTCCTCTGCTAACTCACTCCTCGCAGTTTTTTTTGGTCTTGTTTATTCCTTCTCCTCACATTCACTCAACCCTCGGGCCCGCCACCCCCATAATCCACTAGTTCCATTAGAATGAAACTTGAGCTCCAAAATTTACACAAGCTCATTATCATTCCCACCATATACATGTATCTTGCACCCTTGTCAAACATACAATTATGCCCCATTTGGTATATGAGAATAAATGCTGTGGAAACGGAACTGGGAATAGAATCAACGCCGTGGAGTGTTTCTTGTGCAAATTCACACTCACTAAGGAAGCGCACTTCCATCAAAATCAATGAAAGGGGCTTCCATTCATTGAGCGATGGAACTGGCCAAAGTTCCAGGGAAGCATGCTTGTCATCATTTACTTTTGCCATCTAGTGCAACAGATTGCAACTTCTATGAACAGTGATAGTGGCAACCCAACAATGCATCCTTCGTACCCTCATCACCAACAAAGGCTAATACATGAGGGTTGTGTTTGCTCGATCTGGCTCTGTGCATCTCTCCCTCCTGTGGCACCACCTCCAAGCTTTCGATTACAGTGAAGCATGACTGACAGTAGTGTGGCTGGTGGGATGAATATGTTCAATCTGTTTAGTCTTTCCTCTTCCATTAATGGCAGAAGGTTCAATTGATTGTGTTTTCTTTTCCATTTTTTGTTATAAGCAATTGCTTTCTGAAATGGTAAAATTGATGATACCTTTCTCTGTTCACAATTCACAATGATGATTTCTTATTTGTAATTGCATTCTGAAATCGTGAAATTGTTGTCCATGATGAAGAAGAATTGAGAGAGGGTGAGAGCTGCAAGTTGCCAATGAAGAAAAGGGCTGTGGGACGAAGATAGTTGGTTTTCTGAAAATGGACGGAGGTTCTTGGCAGTGAAAGTCATGGTCCCCAGTGGTCCGAGAGTGGGCATACGATAAGAAGGTGGTTGACAACAATCTCGTTAGAGGTGTTTTGGGCCCCCCCCCTCGAGGTCTTCATATAAAAGGAAAGAAAATGACAAGGGTATTTTAGCCGTTTGATATTCCATAGATATAGCAAAAATACTTTTAAAACTCGCTTTCAAATAACAAACAGGGCATTATAGTTTTGCTATATTAAGCTGAGGTTTAGCATTGACGAGAATACCTCCATTATGTCCTCAGGTAACAGGAAAATGGAACAGCCAAGTTTTCGAGCAACACTGATTATATATGTTGCATTCAACTTCTTATCTTCCTCTGCAATTCAAATAACAAAATGATAAGAAAATTTGTGAAATTGTTGCCTGTACGAAAGCATAGAGATCAACAGAAAACTACAAGGTGCTACCATCAATTTATCCACGTTTACTTACCAGTCTCCCCCTTTGTAACAAGACTCCAGTTGACTACCCTTGCTTCCACAGAACTCAGAAGCTCAAGGAAGAAAATTCCACCGGAGAGACTCTTATCCTGATGAAGAAAAAGAAAAAATAATTAGAACTCTTCTTCAAATCCATAATAATGCAACACCGGTGTCTCAATAATGTTTCCATAAAAATAAAAAAAGAAAAAAAAGAAAAATGCATTAATAAGCATATCTCAATTTTAAAATTAAGTTTTCCATAAACAAATACATTGGAGCCTGATTTAAGCCACAAAGTTTTGCCTGCATATACCTTGAACAGTTTCATTCGTCTAAAGCTTAAAATGACCTCTTTGCATCTGAAGTGCTCAAACCAAGAATCAAGATGGGCAATTTTTTAGATCAATTAAAACTTAAAGAGTAGAAATTGTATACATAAATAAAAAGGAAAATGAAACACAGAAACATATGATTTGCCCAGTTTCAACTAATCAATGTCACTTGCCATTTGCTGTAGCCAATATTTCCTTAATTCTGAGGCGGCAAAAAGTGTAAAGCTCACGGAATTGGAGATATCATTTACTTAATTCTGAATTGGCCTTCATATTTAATGGAAAATTCCACAACCGAAAAGCTTCTACAAATTACAATTTTGTATTGTTATAAGATAGCATGAAACTTGGACCAGGTTTAATGCAAATCTAACCACTAAATGCACAGGTAATTTTTAGTTCAGAAGAAATCTTGTTTTTAAATAAGTGTAAAGTTAACTTATTTTCATGGATGACTAATATGATCAATCAAGTACTGGAATTATTACAAATATGATAGGTAGAAAATTAAGAACTTAGTATTAAAATATTAATAACCATTACAGCATGTTCTTAGTTACCTTGAAATTCTCCATTTGGGAAGTTCTTCCTGCTTTCTTCACTTTAGTGTTCGCCCAGTTTAGAATATCAGCATCGGTGATCTCTTTACCTTGGGAGTGTGATCTTAGGTTTTTCAGAAGTTGAAGCATGCTAAACCTCATTAGTTGCCACAAATATGCTGTGTGGGAGGAAGAAGAATTTGTGATGAGTTTTCCCAATATGGACAAAGTAGAATTATATATATATATATATATATATCCACATAGTAATAAAGTCAGCAGGCATCTAAACGTTTTAATTGTTTTAAATAGTGAATTACTTATTCCAAAAAGTCATTCATGACCACGAGTGAGTACTAGTCTGCAGTTTGTCCACGTCAAAATGCAGGAAAACATAGTTTTTGGTCACTAGAGTTGTGGTCAATATGGGTCAAACCGTCAAAGTCCCTCTAGTTTCTTCATTAAAAAAAAATCAATCCTTGAAATTGTAGTCAACTTTAGTCAAAGTCCCTAGCGTTACTAAACATCACCGCCACATTAGTGATATGTCTTCTCCAAGGACCTTGACCAAAGTTGACAATAATTCTAAGGATTAATTTCTCCATTAAAAAACTATAAGGATCTTGACCCAGGTTGACCAAACTCTAGGGGCCAAGAACCATGCTTTCCCTAAAATGTAAGTCACAAGACATCATTCTTCATCTTCAACCCACAAAAAGGCTTCCTCTATAGTCTACCCTAAAAATACATCCCTACTAAATAGATCCTTTCAGACAAACAACAAGTAAGAAACTTATCATTATTGGATATCCTAGTTCGATATACTAGAGTATCCAGGTGATTTAAAAAAACAAAAATCACGTAAAGAAAAAGATTAAAAAAGTACCCATATGTACTGTCTTCTCACGAAACATGAGAAATATAATTATCATCATGGATATAGGAATCACAAGAACTAAATTCAAGAAGCTATAGTCAACTCAAAGTGGATGAGAGAGAAGACAAAATCAGAAGATAAAAGAAGACCTCCTAAACCTTGGATTTCTTTTATCAAAATTAAACATGATTTGGTTGTTTACTTTATTAGCGCTCATCAATAATACATATTTTTTACAGGATAAACAGATATCACGGTCTTCATTAAAAATTATATATTTTAAGAATAAGCATCTAAGCTACTCCCACTATTCCAAGCTGGTTGGGTTGATTTCTAAGAAGTTTAAAAGTTTGCAGTGATGGAGGAAACTGGTTTCTTCAATATCATTTACACAATCCAAGACCTTGATATCTATTCCAACTACCTTTAACTCACCAAAAACCCCAGCACAACATCATTCTGTCACTGGACTAGAGGAATCAAAGACCTCCCATAAAAGCATACGACCAGCCTGAACATGGGCATAGAGCAAGCTAAACCAAACAAGCATGAAATTCAAAATAACAGTTCTGTATCAGAGTACATGTACTGTCTCAAGTCTCAACTAAGTAAATAGAATCACCAACTAATGACAGGATTGTCAACTCTATAGCTGAAGCAGAAATGTCATATTTTTAACCTATTTGCCAGTAATAAGAGTGAAAGAAGACATGTAAAACTGTCATCAATCTATCTCTAACAACAAAAATTACAAAAACCATTTTTTCCAGTAGTAAAACAGCATAACAGTTCCAAAAATAAATGTTAAACGTACATATTATGAGCTTCTTATTCCCTTGAACAATATCAGTACCAGCAACATTCACTAGGGATAACTTTAGGTCCTTCCCAATCTTTATAACTTGGTTGCAATTCTCAACTTTTCGAAATGGCATCTTTATAGGAGGCTTCGTTGCCTGCTTCCAATTTACTGATCCAGGTGAAACCTTATCAAGAACTTCTAACAAAACCCATCTACGTAAAAGGAAATTGAGAAAAATAACCAATAATGGAGATTTGAAAAATTAAAAAAATGACAAGAAATAACTGGAGAAAAAAATATGACATGGAATTGGGCGAAGCAAAAGAAATAAAGGAGTGTAAACTTACCCATTTCTGACATCCTCAAAAACATTATTGACATAAGTAGCAATTCCAAGACTGTTTATCCATAATCTGAAGCATCTTTCTTCACGAGACGTCAGTGCATCATCAGTCATCATCTCAGCAAAGGACACTTTTTTGCTATCAACTGCAAGGCCATTTCTACAAAAGTACAAACCATTTGTTGGATTTAGATAAGTGAAAGATTTTGTTATAAATTCACATGTTATGATATAAATATTATGAATCTACTACACTACATTACACTGTCATATCTTTGACAAATTAATCATGAAATATAAGAAAATACAAATTATGATGTGATTATCTCACTTTCCATCATAGAAAGCTAAACCATTGCACCCCATAGCAACATCATGTGAAGAAAAAGGCAGAAAATAGCCCGAGAATCTACAGAACATAAACCTTAAAACGCTTGTACTGTAACTATAGAGTAAAACAACATTAACAAGCTTCTAAAATAAAACACACCTATGCTGAAAAATTTGAGCAACAAATGCAAGATTAAGGTTAGGTGACCCCTCCACAATGTCATTAGGAGTGAGATATCTCTTGCAATCTAATTTCTCTGCCTGCTCAAGAACCATGTTTGCTCTTTCAGTTGGATCTTTTGTGGCCAAGGCTGCTGGACCTGAATGCTCCGGAGCGAGAGCATTAAGCAAATATGCATAAGCTTCTCCATCCTAAAACAAATGACATCATCAGTGATCCGACATAATAGGTTCATTCAACTTACAAGTCACAACTGAGTCAATCTGTTTGTGCATAACATATCACCTATGTGAATCAAAAGCTGGACAAACAACTACTGGGCAGTCAGAATGTTTCATGATAACATACTGAACAGTGAACCTTTTCCTTGAAAACCTCCAGATGGTTGGCATGGCCAATGAACACAATGATAAGGTTCACAATTCTATTTTACCACTTTTAAGATCTGTATCAAAATACAGCCTTTTGTGGGTAAACACAAGGTTTAGAAATGAAATATTAACTCCATTTTTTCCCAACCCTAAATTTTTCTGTCACAAGGTACAGGATTTAGCCAAATGGAATTATTTAAACACAAGTAAGTCAGCATAAACCTTAAAGTTTCCTCACCTTTACATCTGAAGAGAAGTTGGTGACCTGCTTCTCATATCCAGCTTTCTTCAAGTGGAAATTCATCCATTTTAATAAAACTTTTTCAGGTGGTAAACCTATAAGCTCTTCAGCATCCTGTCAATAATTCTATAATCAGATAAAATGCAAAATATAATTTATCAATATAAAAATAGAAAGAAAACCATCAAACTGGTTAATTACAAATCAAATCAGAGGAAAAACATGAAATCAATGTATAACCTCGCTGTCTTCCACTAATTCCATAAGTTGGGGAGTTTTCCTCAGATTGAGATCAGCTAACAATTGAATCTAATGTTGCCAGCACATTGAAAGGAAGACATAATTGTTAGTGTAAGAATTATAAAAAACCCCTGGTCTGCCTAATGAATAATGAACTCATCTCCTAACCATAGCATGCAAAGACAAAAAGGTCCAAATTTCAGCAATCTACCTTAATTATTTGTGAAATGAGGCCAAGTACCAAATGTGGCTACAAGATAAGCAAATAGTAAAAGTTAGAACAACCAAAATAATAAGTCAAACCAGAAAAGGGAAAAAAAAACAGGGGAGAAGAGCAAAACAAAAAGAAAAGAGGTATTGCTCTTACTCTAGCTTCAACTAGGTCCTGTGTGCCAATATTTACCACTGTGCACCCAATAGCTTTAGCAGAATTGAGGCAAAGGGTATGGTTCTCATTTCTCTCCCATGGATTAAGAATCTTTTTTGTGTTAATAGCTCGTTCATCTATGGTGCCAGGAACAGCGATATTTATAAGCTTGCTGAAGGGAAAAGTTAATGAAAAGGATAAACATTAAGCAATCAATAGTAATAAACTTGAAGAAGAGATAAAATAGTTATCAAGTGGGGTCCTGCATGTCTACCATAGGAGAACTCCATCTTTTGCAAGATCAAATAAAGCATTTGTTGATGGATCAATGGGAAGAAATTGCTTCATGAATTTATCTTCTGCCAAATAACTGTTAATATGCGCAACATAAGAAGCTTTCTCAGATTCATTAATAGCATGATGAACAGTTGTGGTGGTTGCTTTCAAAAATGAAGAAGAATTTTTTGAACTGCCAGATTTCTCCATTGCTCGGCCTTGCAAATTTAAATATGCCTGCCAGTCAATTAGTTAGCTTCCCAGACCATTATAGAGAGTCCACAAACAACTACCCATCATAGCACAGACATAAACACAAACACAAAAATAGATATCTATCCACTTCTATGTAAGCTGCATGTGTTTCCAAGAGGCCATTTGATAATTGAATGGCCTTTTTGTTTGCAGTCTAGATTTCTGATTATTTTCACTTGAAAAGAGATATACATACATCATCAAAGTAAGGATGTAAGGAACAATATCAAGTGAGGAAAGAAGCATTTTTTAAAAGAACGCACCTGAAGGAAGGTCTCAAAGTCAATTTCTTCATCCATGTTTTTATATGACTCCCTCAAGATACACTCAATCTCATCCTCATTGAACAAATCACCGAAAGCCTTCACTTTCTTAAAAACAGGGGCAAATCTCCCACAGTGACTCGTCCAGATTGAGTCTTCACTGATACAAACTACATAAAACATAAAAAGTAATGTCAGCTCCAGATTTGCATGCTGCCATGTAAATTTTAATTTTCAAGGAAACAAAGAAACTGATACTAAGTAAACCAAGAAAGATTTAGGTTAACCCAAAGGGCGAAGAAAAAGACAACTTACTTTTGATTTAAGACTTCGAAGTTGAACTTGTGTGAATTGGCTCTGAAGCCACTGATCAGAAACAAGGACGCCCACAAAACTAGACATCTTCAACTTGGTTGGAGCGAAATATCAAACACTTTAAGGCAAACTGACCAACAGTATGCAATTGCATTTTTAAACGGATAGATAATAGTCCCAGTAAGTCAGTGAAATCCAATAAATCGAAAAGATGATAAACTACAGTTCATGTATATTCGTTTATGAACATAAATAGATTGGGCAAGCATATTAGACTTCCAAATTCAACAACAGATATGCATCTAATTACACTAGGCTGATCCAACAGTAGATTTGCACAAGGCACGCTCGACTAAACTCGGTAAGAAAAAATCAAAATTGAAAGAAACCCAACAAAACAGCTAAAACCCGATGAAAACATAGTAGGGAAAATACGAAGAAAAATTCATAGAAGAAATGAAAAGAAGTACCTTGAAGACTCAGAAACTAGAGCAAAAATCGAAATGATTTCTCAACAGTGACTTTCAGGAATCGATAGTGGAAATAAAAGGAAAGAGAACGAGAGAGAATATTGGGTCGGTGATTACTGATTAGCGAAATGGGAAGCGAGAAAAATGTGAGGGCGATAGAAACCAGAGCACTTCTCTGGTTGTCAAAGACGCGCCCAACGTTGTAGATCCCGCGTTTAATTCCTTGTTTGTCGTGGAGGCAACGCCTTTGCTTGTTTCTTTGTTTTCTTCTCTCTCGCGTCTCTCATTACATTTGTTACCTAATTTTCCAGCTTTTTCCCCGCTTTGATTCCATTTCTTGAAATTCACATTCCATTTTACTGCATTTCGGTATCTTCTTGTAGTCGGGGGAAAAAAAAAGTTTCAGTAAACGTGATTGCAGTCGGTCTTCACAAATTAATGATTTGACATTCAATTTTATTATGATGTGTTTGGCTGAAGGAGAGAGAGGGAAAGTGAAAGGAGGGAAGGAGAGAGTTTTAATGTAATTTTGTTTGATTTTATTAGTGAGGAGGAAAGGTAATAAATAATTTATTATTATATTTTTATTATTAATTTAAAATTTTTAATTTTTTTGTAAAAAATAATTTTATATTTCAATTTAAATTGTAAAATTTTTTAAAAATTTACTCTCATCCTATCATATTATTAATATGTAAAAAAAAATTAAATCAATAATTATAATGATAACATTTTTTATAAAAAATAAATAACTAAATATATAATAAAATATGATAAAATGTAGCTTTTTAAAAAAAATCTAAAGAGGTCAGTCAAAGTTTTAGAGTAAACCATAATCTAATATGATGAAGGAGAATTTTTTTTAGTTGTTGATATACTTAAAATATTAAAAATTACATAAAAATAAAATAGTCAAAAAAATTAACTTCCCTCCAAAAATTTTAATTTAGAGGGGAGCAATATGAGAGGAGGGGAGAGATTATTTTAACTCCCCTTCCCCCCAAAATTTTCCTTCCCCTCCTTTCCCCTCCAAAAACTCCCAATCAAATATGTTTTTAGAGTTTTAAACTTTTAATTTAATTTAATTAAAGAAAAGCTTTTAATTCAAAGAATATTTTGTTATTCTGGAATATAATCAAATTGGAGTATGTGATGAAGTGATCATTGTAAAATGATAATTGCCAGTTGATTTAGCAAAACCAACTCAACACTACTTAGAAAGAAGTTAATATATTTAAATTTACACTTAAAACTAACTTATTAAAAGTGTAGAAAAAAGCTTTTAGTTAATTTTTTGTAGCTCGAGGGATAGAGCTCGTAAATGGACTTGACCTTATGGGACTTGCGCCTCGCTCTTATAGGCTTAGGTCTAAAAACTTGTTTACATTAAATTAGAATTAGTGACTTTTAAACTTGATCAATATTAATCAAATTTAAGGTTGGGCTTGTAACATTTTTTATTTTTAAAAATTAAATTTTTACATTATAATATTACATATGTATTTAAAATATAAATTATAATTTTTAAAAATTAATTAAAAATTAGTATAAAGGATAGAATAAAGCGTTTAGTTAAAAAAAAAGAAGTTGTAGCATTGGGGCAGAGTTGGCAAATCCGTGAACCTTACATTTTATAATTTTGTAAAGCACGGCCCTAATCAATTGAATTTAGAGTTAGGCTTGTTAGTCTTTTTATTTTTAAAAAATTTTTAATTTTAAAACAAATTAATTTTTACATTATAATATTATATATTTTTTAAAAATATAAATTATAATGTTTAAAAGTTAAAGACAAGTAATATAAATTTTAATTTTAAAGTATAAACATATATTCTAAAATTTAAATTTAATTTAAAAAATAAAAATATTTTATTTTTGGGTAAAATAAAAAATGAGTCAACACAAAATGCTGAGTTTGTTTTTATAAGGAATCAGTTGGGCTTATAAGACAAGTTACATTAAAATTTCTCAATTTTTCAACCATGAGTCCTAAAAAAGGGTTGGTGCAGCACATTAAACCTAGACCATATTTTTGACTCTACTAAGAGGTAAGTACTATAATAATCAAAATTCAAAAAATATCTTCCCTTACTTTTATTTAGGAGTCACTTTAATATATTTTACTGAAATCTATAATCTATATCAATTTGGAATGGTCCAGTGACAGTATATGAACAGTATCATCCATGTGAGCTTTAATATACCTATATCAATTCCAACTCAACCTCTTCAATTCCTCTTTTGAAAGAGTAGGTCCCTACTTGGTGTTTTCTGTACGAAACCCCTTTCCTTTTTCTCTCTCATGTCGAAAGTGGTTGTCGAAAAGGAACAGAGGTCCGTACTCCTTACTCCCAAGCTCATCCCTCCTCAACGGCATCTTTTCCCATTTGTGATTTCACGCATTCAAATGCCTTTTTTCTAGCGTTGCATGTGAATTTTGTTTTCCTTAGCTATTACGCAAAATGTTGGTGTAATTCTTATCATTAAATACCTTTATCAATTCCACCTTAGCCTCTGTCAGTTTTTGCCTACCCATAGATTATTTAGCGTGATTATTTAATTAATAATCCTATTTATTTTTTTTTCGATTTCCCTATATGTAGTGTAGAGGGAGAGTAGTAGGTCACGAGTTGTTTTCTCATTATATTCCAAGGTTCTCATTGTGTTCATGCATTTTTGGTTCTCTTCACCATAGATCTCTTGTGGACTTTAACTCTTAATGTCGGCTGGTTTGTTCAATGATAGTGCTTCTTTATGGTATTATTGCATTTGATGTTGGATCATATATTTTCATGATCACAAAACTAAGAGAAGAGGCATTTGTTATATGTGCACATATAAAGAATTATGGATGAAGACAAAATCTTAAAAGTATGAAAAATCAAGAGAAGATGAAGATACTTAAGATAAGTTATTTTAAATTCTCTTAGATTCAATGTGAAAACTTTGAAAGCTTAATCACTTTTCATAATCATTAAAATGAATGCATCATGTAACCTTCCCCTATATCCACCAGATATAGGAGAAGATTAATTAAATCATTGCATATAAATTACCAGATTAATCAAAACTGTCTTTGAAAAGTTTAGGCTTAAGACTTGTTTTGTAAAACCATCAAAATTACAACATGTTCGAGTAATACACAGCAAAAGTAAATCATATGCATTCAAAGCACGAATTGCATGCATCTCAAATTACAATACCAAGTTGGAATATGGGCCATGCGCCACAACGTTTAATACATACATCGTGGCATCTAGCACAAAGCCACAGGCTTGACTTTTTGTGTCATGTGTCATAGCGTGAGACACCATACGCCGTGGCGTACCAATTCAAATTTTCTATTATCATTTGATAGCAAAAATGATGAACTTTTGGTGTGTGCCGTTTTCATATGCGACGTCCAATCGAAGTGATTTAAGCGCTTACATGAAACTTATTTCATAAGCTAGCTAATGAGATAGGTTTATACATGATCTAACAATTCTATCAAAATTTGGACACCTGAGTGCATAAAGTCACTTTGTCAAAGAATTTTGCACACCCAAGCCCTTAAATTGATCGATTTGTCTCATTAGAGACAAGGCCTTGAATCAAGTCTAAAAGGACCTATTACACCTGATTAACCACATCTCATCATCAATATACACATATATCAAATTTAGCCATTCAATATCCCATTTTTACATTTCATAAAATCTTACCACTAAACACATTTTGGCCCATTTGGCCTATTTCTCACTACATATCACCACAATTTCATTCCATTCACTACTACCATATTTATGTCACCCTAACTCAATCTTCGCTCTAAATTATTCATTTTATCATAATTTTACATATGGGCTAGAATTCACCAAAACACAACATTCACAACACATGCACAATTAAATTTTAGCCCTTGATTCTCATTTCACTGCATATATACACAAATAGGCTAAAATTTCACAAAATCACTATATTTTCTCTATTTCTTTACTCAAAACATGCATGCAATCCCTAGGGCAACTTATCTATATATATACACAAGTTCTTGGTTTATTACACAATACTCTAAGCTAACATAGCTTCAATAACTCTAAGCCAGTCTTGACTCTTTTTTCTTGCTTTGATCACTACTCTATCCTATAAAAATGTAACCATGGGGGTGAGATAAAAATCTCAGTAAGAAAATAACTCATTCCTATTAACTATCACATATAACTATATGAAAGTAAAGTATAATATACCATTTAACATAACATATATCACATATTCGATTCAAAGCTTATCAACATAGCATATATCACTACTTTCATTGCTTTTCACCACTTTTCTAACATAAGTATGATCTCTACCATTCGAACTTCCAAATCACCCCAATTCAAAACTATAAGCTCGCCTTAAATTAATATACAATCTCATTGGCCTTGAGCTCACCTTTAGTGGTAGAATCACTTGCCAAAGGTGATCTTACTTTCAGATTATGGTTTCTCCCATTACACACAATGGGGTGTCATTGACTCCAACACCGTATCACACAGACACTAAGGAGTTCAAATCTGCAACACCGCACCTCAACAGGCACTAAAAAGATCATCTCTAACACCATACCTAGAAAGGCACTAAGAAGGTATAATTCTCTAACATCGCACCCCGTCGGGCACTAAGGAGAATAAGGCATATGGTCTTATTACCACACTTCACATAAGTGAACTCTCACCCTTATGATCATGCTTTCCAAACTAATCATAGGTTCCCAATCACCACTTTATATGCTTTCTCATACATAACATATATATATATATATATATTCACATACCATATGGAATCACATATTTCAATACTTTTATTCAATCAAAAGCCATTTCATGCAACATTCATAAGATGCCATAAATTATGCTTAGTTGAAAACCATTTCATGGACTACATAACATACTTACATGCTGTTATAACAAATAGTCAAATAGAGGAAGTTATTTAGTTACCTCAACCCTTTTATCACTAGAAAGGTTACTCGTGAATTTCAACTACCATTATAGCTCGTCACAAGCTCCCTTTCTCAACTCACATGCTTAATTTGCCAATCTAAACACAACTGGCACAATTTAGTCAATTGGTCCAGTTTAACTAAAAGCACATAATTACTACTTATAGCTATATTTAGCTATCTATTCCTTTCCATTTATTCGTTATAAGTCCATCACTACTCAATTACTACTTTATATCACCTCAACTGGTCTCACTTCAGTTAAACAAGATTTTCACCCTAAAATCTCATTGAATTAAGGCCAAATTGAGCCTACGAGTTTAAAGTTTTATCATTTAGCTCTAAACCAGTAGCAAAGCTCTAATT